GGTCTCAAGACTTCCAAACATCCTCATCCTTACAAACTCCAATGGCTCAACGATGTGGGGGAAGCCAAGGTAACCAAACAAGTTATTGTTCCTTTTTTAATTGGAAGATACAATGATGAAGTCCTTTGTGACGTGGTGCCCATGAGTGCAAGCCACCTTATACTCGGGCGTCCTTGGCAATATGATAAGAAGGCTACCCATGACGGATTTTCTAACAAGTACTCTTTCCAACATCAAGGAAAGAAAATCATATTGGCGCCTATGCTTCCAAATCAAGTCCATGAATGTCAGGTTACCCTTAAATCACGTATAGAGGAATGGGAGAAAGCTAAAGCCATGAAGAAAGTTGAAAGAGAATTTTTGCATGAGAAAAGAGTGGAGAGAGTTGAAAATGGACAAAATGAAAGGATTGAATATGGGAGCAAAGAGGAAAAGGGAAATGAGGGTGAAGAACATATTTTATCTAATCCTACTCCTATTCTTTCTTTTGACGTGCAGGACAATCCAATAGACATGTCACTTCAAGTTGAAGATTCAAGAAACATGTCTTTTGAAGAATCAATAGACGTGACTTTTGGTGATGCACAAGATATGTCCTTTGACATTTCAAAGGATGTACCTCTTGAAATTCAAAAGAATGAGCCAATTGGAATACCAAGAGTTGAGATCATTCAGACTCCAAGAACATTGCACATATTGAAGGGAATTCAACAACCAATGGAGTTTTTCATCATTAAGCAACCAATGCCCATTAAACATCCACCTTGGTTTGCTATTTCCATTCATATTGTTAATAATTTTTCATTTACTAACTTTGATTTATTCTGCAGCAACTTGTTTCATCCTTATGGTGAAGAAATCATACCAACCCTTAAGGCAATCATTTGGAGAGACACAATGGTGAAAGGACACGATGATTTAAATCAGCCCCAAAAAGTCATTCAAAGAACACTTATCTTCACCAAGCGACGTGATGACTCCAACCAAGAGAAAAACCTTTTCACCAACAACCATGGTGAATTAAAAGGAGGAATTGAAGATATAGAGGTCCTTTCCAAGCATTGTGATGATTCAAAGAATAAAGAAAAGGGATCAAGTTGGTTCGTGAAGGGCTATGTCTCTCCTGTTCAAAGGACATATGATGATTCCCAAACATTGTGTCCTCCCATCAAAGGATGTGAAGTTACCAGATTTGAAGCCAAGAGGTTGAACATATCGTGTGAATCATCTATTGGAGGAAAACATAAGGATTCAATCATTCCTACATCAAGAAGGTCTTCAATGAGAAACTACTTCGATTTGAGGACAAATCGCCTAAAAGAAGGGGAGGATGATACGATCCAAACAAGCTCCAACTTTCTCCATGACTTGAACACGCCATGGATGTTCTTCAAAGCTGTTTCTAAGGGAGTTCTTCATTACCCTATCTTATACTATATCATTTATACATTCTATTCTATCATAAGCATGTATTCACATGTTAGTATAAATTATCATATTATTATCCTATGCTTATTTGATCATGTTTTTCATATTATTCAAATATATGTTATGATTACATATCATTTCTTAGGATATTATTATTACATGTTTCCATTTATCATTTATGAATACCATATTATATGATATTCATGCATAATTGATGCACAATGTTATTTCAAGTATGTTAAGTATGTTATATTAGTCTTGCATTCATTTAAGCATGATTCAATTCATTCGTGAAACGGCAGAATGCTTAATCATTCATTTGTTAGCTCACGTGCATTCATTCTAGCTCCTAGGTCTTATACATTAGCTTACATATGTTATATCATTATGTACTTAGCTCATGACATGCATTCATAGCTCATATCACTCAAACACCTCACGGCAGCATGCATTTTACCGTAAATGAGCTCACACATTGCTTATTTTATTTGTTTGGTGATTCCTATAGGTGAAACACAAAACAAGGCATATTATGGTAGCTTGGCTAGCTAAAAGGACAAGCACAACAGCTCACACTAGCTCATGAACATTATGGCAGCTCATTTCATCACATAAGGAGCTTAAACTTAGCTGGAGGAGCTAGCATGTAGCTGAACTTAGCTGGAGGAGAGCTTTGGACCAAATTACTGAAAAGTGGACTAGAGGTAGCTGGAAGTAGCTGGGAGAGTAGCTGAGGAGTTGAGAAGACCAAAGCTAACTAGCTTGAGTTCATCAAGCTATAACTCACCTAGTTAGCTACCAAGACACTCACCTAGCTTACCTTGAAGCTAGTTCATCTCTAGGCTGCCCAATGGATGCCATGTCACCTAGATGCATGTTGGAAGCTAATTCACGCCTAATTGTTGCCTATCTTTATTCCATGGACTTCAAGACATCATCCTATGGTTGCAACCTCATCAAAGCATAACAAGAAGACCCATGTGCATTCATGTAGGCTTCCATGTGCATCATTCAAGCATGTACACTCCATGTGACATCAAATTGGCGCCAAAACACCAAGGGATGCTTCTTATTCGGCCGGCCGAACCAACACATAACCATTCGGCCAAGAGCATGTATTTTCATTAAAGTCTTGTTTTTTCATTAAAAATCATGTCATTTTAGGAAGGTACAAGGGCTGGCCGAACCAACATGTACCTATTCAGCCAAGTCCCTTCAAAAACTATAAATAGGCCATTTTATTTCATTTGTAAGTACACACCTTTTATTCAATTAAAGTGAGATTATTCTCTTCTTAAGTCCTGGCGACTTTTTATCGACTTATCAAGTATTTTATACTTGTGGCGTCAACCCCTTCCTTTCATCTTGATACTTCTGGTTCCTAGTTCATATAACTAGTGGGTCAAAGTACTTAACACCATCCCTTGAAGAAACAATATAAAGATTGGGTCTCTGCTCTATATAGCATTGGTTCTTCTTTGAGATTTCTTCAAGATACTATCCTCACAACCATCCCTTTATTTCATCTCCATAACCATAGCCTTATCAACTATCTTCCGCTTCCATTACTCATTATTTAAATAGCCTACCAATTCACCCATACATCTACTACCCTTAACTATTCTATTTTGAGCCATTCATTTTGCAGGTTGTTTTGCTTCCTTCCTAGATCCACAATCATTTAAAAAGGTACAAGTACCTTACATCATGACGCCCATGATGAATATTTTGGCGAGGAGCCCAAGAGAGCAACTCATGTAGACCCAACACTTCTCACAGACTTCTTTCGAGGATTTGATGAGAGGATGCTTCATTTCATTGATGCTCTCCGAGCCCATGTTGACTCACACTTTGATAAAATTGAGCATCTTCAAGATACTATTGAGCTCCTATGATTAAGGAGGTTCAAGTGATCTAGCGTCAGCTTGAAAGATTTTTCTTCCCTCGTTTATCACCATCTTAGTTCATACATGCATATCATATCATTTTCATTATCGCATTTTTTAGACTTTGCTACATTTGGATATTTGACTTTGGATGTTTGGTATTATAAACTTATGTTTATTTGGATATTCTTGATATTTAGATGGTTTTGATATTTTGAATTTGAATATTTGGACTTATATGCATTTGATATTTTGGATGTTTATGGTTTTGGTACTTTAGGTTATATGCATGTTATTTACTTTAAGTACCATGAAGCTTGATATTTACCTCAATATCCCTATTCTTAATTCTAATTTTATTTTTACTATTTTATCTCCTTGTTATATTATACTAGCATTGTGAATTATTTTTATATAAAAATATCTTATGCAAAGTAAATATCTTGTCACATGGGAAGGTTCAAAGGAGGATACCTACTTATCTTATGCAACTATTGATCGTAGAGTCTATTACCACATCGCGTCAAAATGTTTTGATAAAATCATCAATTTCATTCATGTGGGGGATTGTTGGAAAAATGAATGAATTTCATTGATGGATTTAATAATTAAATTAAATTCATATCCCTTCTGAATATTTCAAATTAAAAGATATTTATCTCTTTAACTTGAATATTAATAGGATAATTATTCTTTTGAGTATCTCAAATTAAAAGGTATTTATTATCTAGTTAATTTTAAATATTAAAAGATAATTATATCCTTTTAAATATTTTAAAATTAAAATAAAATCTATTTAAGTTTTAATACTAAAAGGTATTTATATCTTTTTTAATATTTCAAGTTAAAATATATTATTATCTGTTTAAATTTGAATATTAAAAGAAATCTATTTTGAGTGAATCTCTCTTGAAAATCTCTTATAAATATTGAGCTGACCTGACCTACTATGTTAAACATATCTCAAAATTCAAGAACTTCACAAATCTTGAAAATTATTCTCTCTTTCTCTAGTTTTCTAGTGATATGCAAAGACAAGAAATAGGTGATTATCTTGACAGTCGTGTTACTATACGTTAATCATTTAGTTTTTGTATTATGAGAGATAGACAACCAAAAGATCTCGAGCACCAAAGAGTTGTCGAAAATCTGTCTTAAAAGAACTGTGTAGCGACAGGCCTCAACTCGTTTTCAATCGATAGATCAATCAAGAAAATAATATTTTTCTTTCTATATATTTTCATTTATTTTTAAAGAAGACTACTTTCTTTTGATATTTTGTATAACAATGCTTTCATTCTTAATATGCACTTGTTTTCATTTTCCAAAAAAGTATTATTTGTTTATTTACATTAGTTATAAACTGGATATATGCAAATTAATTGTTTAATTGTTTTATTGAATTATTTTATATTAAATATCGGCGTGTCAAACATTACACTCGTCTTAATTTTAAAATGCAAATTAAAAATTTATTTCATACATGTTTTAAGATGTTATTTTATTTTATTATATATAGAGGATATGAAAATGTAAAAAGGAAAACAATTAAATCAAAAATTAAAAACATACAATATTAACATGTAAACTTTTATATAATGTTTGAAACACACAGACAGCACAAACGCATGGATATACAAGAATTGTATTAAGAATGCTCTAGGATTAGCTGCTAGATTCAGAGTGTATTAAGAATGGAAATGGATTGCCAAGTTACAATATTAAACCACCTATCATAAAAGATCAAAAAAGAAAGTTTCTTACACTTGAGGAAGCTCTTGGAACCAAAATCTGCACTTTCACCCTCCTATAATTCTAGGACATTACACCAATATAATAATATATCTACAGCCTAATTATAACTCACCAGTGCTCTCACAAGAACTCCCTTGATTGCCCATGGCATCATGAACAGACAATCTAATGATATTGCTGCCCGATGATCTCGAAACATCTGCGCATTCCTGGAGATCGGCATCACAAGCTATCAAAACCCACTCGTTATCATCATCCAGGTATTTGATATCAAAGGTACCTAGCTCTAGCTTCAGCCTCTTGGCTACTTCCTCTTTTAATTCCACGATACCGGAACGTAAGGAGATCCGGAATCTAATTATATCTTCTCTGTAAGTAGCCTTAATGGTCACATTCTCCGTTTCATGCCTTGCTATCACATGGGGTGTTGTTGAGTGAGTAAAGGTGGCCATGGCTTGCTTAAGAGCCGGATCAGAACATGGAAGTGGCGTCCAACTAGATTCTGGAAATCGCTCATCAATGCCAATGTCTGCCGCTGAAGTACAAAGGTTTCTCAAGTCTTTAGAACTTCCAGCGTCTTCCACTAGCATACCTCCGAATGGCTCTTCGGGTTCTGCGGTCACAAGAGCTGTAGGCATTGAGAACGTGGCTGATATATTCTGATCCCTTAAAGGATGTTGGAAGGCCAGCTCGGGAGAGCCGTGTGCTTTAAAGCATTGCTGCGGAGCCTTAGTAGCAGCACTTTCAATTCCAGGGCTACCTTGACATGAACCATGAGAAGTTGGCGTCCCAGCACTCTCTTCTCTAGAGCCACTCCCTGTTTTGGATCTCTTTATCCCTTTATCAAAGTCTGATGAAAATCCATTCTGCCGAGGGAAATGTTCTTCTGGGCTCAATGTCCTCCCTCCCAACAATTGATCTTCCACTAAAACATGTCCATTACTTCCCGGTGTCAAACATTTTGGTGAATCATTTCTTTCACCTTGATGTTCAAAAGGTATAGAGTTTGGTGAGTTTTGTTGATTGGACCCATTCGGCCACGAAATGGAATTAACACCAACAGGTAGTGGATTCTTGGCAAGTGAAGTTAAACCAAATGCTCCATCAGCGCAGTGTACAGATTCAATAACATGTTTTAGCTTAGTGAGGGAACGGTTGACTTTGTTGATCTTACGAGACGGCCACCGGGATATCCCATGCTGCCTGCAGATGCGCTTCATTGTTGTAGGACAAACTGCAAAATAAAGAATCTCTCTGAGAACAGTCCATATCAATATGTACCAAAACATATATTCTTTTACGCAGATTTAGTTTAGAAGGCACTGAAAATTTCTCAAAGAGAGAAGATGGATACCACCAAGGCTCTTTGCAGCATCTTTGAGACTCCCTGTAAAGTACTGTTGGAGCACCTCCAGACTAATCGATTTCTCAGTTTTCCCGCGTTTTCTCTCTGGTTTTTTAATGTCTTTATTCTGCTGAGGACAAACAAGATTGTGGCTTCCACTAGCAACAAGGTCAGCTCCACGAGTTGCAGAGTCCAAATTCACAGTTAATCGCTGCTTTGAAGAGTCTAATTGCCCTTCTTCTCGGTTGGGTGAGGGGTTATTCTCGGGTGGCGACTTCACAGATGGATGAATTGGAATTGCTTCAAGCCTTTCTTCTGAAGAGGCTTCAATGATTTCAATAGATCCTTCATGATCTTCCAGTTCAGCTCCAGAAGCAACCTTAAGACTTTGGAAATGCTGCTTCATCGTTGCCAGTATGGAGCCCAATAAAGTCTGTTGTTCATTGCGGTCGGCAATAGCAGGGGGCAGAAAAAACTCGATAATGTAATCATCATCTCTGGTATAAGTACTCCGTAAGCAGATTGCAAAACAGCTGGTTAATCCAAACATGCGAGCATAATGTACTAAAGGATACTCGGTTTTGCAGAACTGGGTAATGTCTGAGCAAAAGCACGAGTTGAGTGATAAAAATGCCCTCCCAGCAACCCCCTGACCCTTTTGTAGGTGATGCTCAAGACAAGCGTCCCGGAAACCCCACATGTGAGCATCTACAACATAGAATGCCACATCAGTTGTTGACATGCAAACTTGTCCCATGCAGCTACCGTCAAAGCTTGTACAGCTTTTCTTTAGACCACCGCCATGGAACAAAACACTGCGATGCTTGCAAGGGACCCAAGTCTGAGCCAGGGGTAGTTTGTGAGTTTCGCAGACCACTGTCAAAATCTCCAAAATATCAGTCAGTGCACTTTGGCGACTTTCATTGCAAATCTGGTATAAAAGCGTGAGTTTGTCAGAATATGAAGAAGAACACACAAAATAAATATTTTCCAAGCATCCAAAAATAATGAGATTTAATAAAAACTAAAATTAAAACTCACCTGGGTGCTTGGATGATCCAATATTTCAGAACTTTTCAGATTCACTGCCTGCACAAGAACTGAATTTACATGACTGAGGAATCTCAGAGCATCAAAGAAAGAAATATTTGCAAGACCGATGATTACAAATGAAAGGAAAAGTTCAATACGAATGAAAGGAACAGTGGCTATACTGGAGACAGAAAGAAACCCAACCTCAAGCGCTTTGCATACTTTATCAACCTCGGGTGCATAGTTAATCTTCTGTGAAGTCATTATGAGTTCAACAACACCCACACAAGACTGTCCAGAAGGTTCAAAGACTGGCAACGCCAAGGTTCCCTGAACATTGTATAGCAGAGCATGATCAAGCCGTGAATACTCTCTGCTGGAATAATACTGTACATTTGGACTCCATTCCGGCAATTTTTGCCGGAAAACACGGCCAGGAAGTCCGAGCTCAACATCACTCTCTCCATCCACTGAAAACATGTACATCAAAGAAACCATCCTGTACTGGTGCAATCCATTGCTATGTGGATCAAGGACAAAGGGTTGCCCCAAAGTTGTTAGAACATACCGACCCCCATTCTTTACAGGTGCCCAAACCTGCGCTAGAACATGTTGTTCAGTTGATTCCTTGAAGTAACGCAGTGCCCGAGTCATCCTCTCTTTAATAACACAATAACTATCTGGGTTTTCAAGGGGCAGCAATCCCAAAAATGGAGATGGCAGCCTTCTATTATCATTGCCCTCCTTAGCATTTTCATTTACAGGATTGGGAGTACCTGCATTTAGTACAATTTAAAATACAAATGAAACTCAGGTAAGCTAGATGCTTGAGCCAATTAAATATGCACAGTAGTTGATAGTAATGATGATATGCACTAAACCCAGAAAATTATAAAATTCAGGTGCTGGACCGTTGAAGTTGAAGGAAAAAGAAGTCCCAGGCTGAGAAGGAAAAGCAAGTAGCTTCTATCCTGCTAGCTCAGAGGCGGTTGCGGATCCACTCATTGTTCAAGGTCAGCACTGAAATCTGAATTTTTTTCTATTAATTACTTTATCGATTATGCACACGCTGAAATTTTATTTATAGCCACTCCTACAAAAATTTTATGTTGTTAATATACATGTATCCATCCTAAAAATATTTTTAAATCCGTCGTCACAGTTCAGAACAGGGATTTAAATAGCAGTGCGCTATTGAAATAGCGGCCAATATATTGCGCTAAAGGTGTAGTCCAAAATAATTATTGCATAATCATGACACCCGTAATGATCGAGATAAACACAACTCAACCGAAAACACCACCGAAACCGTAATTTAAATCCCTGACACAGGTTTATATAATGGTTTACATAGGAATTAAAGAAACTAAGGGGGGAAACAAGGCAAACATACAAAGATTAACTAAAACATAGGCTCTGTATTCCATTGAACAATCCTTTCACTTTCCAGTTCTTGAGGTTGAATCTAACAGGAAAATTATCCAAATTCTCAGGTTACCATATTCCAAGAATATGTGATTCAATCAATACAGACAAAACCGAATCAAAGCTCCAAGAAAATCCAACTAAAACACAAAACATTCAAAAGCGAAAACCAATCCAAATCAATAAACGAAGACAAAAGGGGGAAATTTCAAAATAAAGAAGAAGAGAAACGCATAAAGAATAGCAATTTTACGAAGTTGGAAAGAAAAAAAAAGGACTAACACTTGACAAAAAGATTGTAACCGGCAGCGGCGGCAGGCCCGAACTTAGTATCTTCATCGGAGAAAGCCCAGAGAGGAGAACATGGCTGCTCGGAAGAAGAGGGTATGATAAAAGGAGAGGTGGGATTAGAAAGGAAAGTCAACTGATCCAAGGGCCAGGAAGAATCCAGATCCAGATAATCCATATCCATTATCCCCTGCTGCTGTTGTTTTGGCGGCGAAGGACACGCGTTGTCTTCCTCCGGCTCGCACATTTTATGGGGAAGAAACAAAACGGAAAAGAAAAAAAAAGTTGGGTTTCTTTAATTATTTTTCCTGTGGAGGAGGGTAGTTCTCTTTCTCTTTCTCTTTCTCTTTGGTGTTTGAAAGGAGAGAAAAAGAGAAGATTATTAAAAAAAAAATCACACACTGTGGTACATAATGGAATTGGTAGTGGTAAAATTTGCAGACAGTGATTCCATTTGTTTTATTAATTTAATTGATGGAATCCACAGCTGGGTTGTGGGCTACACCTAGTTGCCACAGTGTGGATAAAAAAATGTCGTGAGGAGATGATTCTCTGCTGCTCCCCTTCCATTATCACCCACCCCCTCTACTCATCACTCATCTCCTTCTTTTTGTCTTCTTTTACTTTTCATAAATTTTAAAGGTTTCGGAAATTGAATCCATCAACCTCTAAGAAATCATCATTACCTTATATATATATATTTTGTGTAAACATAAATAATAATTTTAATGTTCCATTAAATATTCACTTTGACACGTATTATTTTTAAATCATATTAACCTATAGTTTTGAGGTAAAAATGTCTCTTCATTAATGGAAACTATTAGTTAATAAATGATTAATGTTCTAAAATTGAAATATCTTTACTTTAAAATAAAACGTTGGTGTCAAAATTCTTTCGCCCTAAAAAGACAAGATTGGAACTAATAACCCGTATGCTTAGAAAGGTATTCATAAAACAATAATAGAACATTGATAAATAGAACGTTGGGTACTCTTTTTTCCTTATAGGACCCCAATCTTTTGTTGGTAAAAGATGTTTTTAATGAGACCCTCACTTTTTTTAAAAAAAAAGAAATATTTAAAGCCAAAATGTTAAACAAAATATAGGTTACAATAATTATTTAGTAAAATGAGAAGGATATTTTTTAATATTATACTTTTTTTGGGGGGAGGTCACAGATTTACTTTTCAATTATCTTTAAAAACCATTAGAGTTAATAGTAGTGATATTAATTTTGAGGATTGGTTTATAATAAAAACTTGAACAATGAAATACAAAAGATCTAATCGCACCCAAAAAAATTGTAACTTAGAGTTGAGCGACGTGAAAAAACTATCCATGAACACAAATCAAGTATCCAAATCCAATTCAAAGGACCAAAGTAGGGAAGATCATCATGATAACATATAAGTGTCATCTAGATCAATCGTGACAATGTCGAACCAACCCTAAAATGATAAATGAAAAAAGTAACGGCAAAACGACCTAAAACATGCCAAAAAAACAAGAAAAAATATGTCATAAAGATAGATGAAAATGTTTTATAAAGATAAACTTACTGAAAATTAAAAACAATAGAAAAATAAAGATGCGATATAAAAATAAAAGGATACTAAAAGTTACTGACAATATATAATAAAAACTTGAACAATGAAATAAAAAGATCTAATCGCACCGAAAAAAATTGTAACTCAGAGTTGAGCGACGTGAAAAAACTATCCATGAACACAAATCAAGTATCCAAATCCAATTCAAATGATCAAAGTATGGAAGATCAACATGTTAACATATAAGTGTCATCTAGATCAATCGTGACAATATCGAACCAACCCTCAAAAATGATAAATGAAAAAAATAACGGCAAAACGACCTAAAACGTGCCAAAAAAACAAGAAAAAATATGTCATAAAGATAGATGAAAACGTGATATAAAGATAAATTTACTGAAAATTAAAAACAATAGAAAAATAAAGATGCGATATAAAAATAAAAGGATAATAAAAGTTACTGACAGTATATAATTAACATCAAGATTAATGTCGTACCAACAACTAATTAATCTAGTGAGATTAGACACTAGATCACATATGTTTTAAGGCAGCCTAGATTGATGATCGGACTCTCCACTAACAAGGATTAAAATAGAAAACCCTTTACCATCCCAGCTAGACTCATAATTAATTATGATTTTTTAATGAATTAACGAATCAAATCATTCAATTTTACCCCTCAATTAGGAAAAATAAAATTAATCATTAAAAGAATGAATAATTAAAGAGATGGACGGTGGTGATGTGCGCTGTTACATTAAAAGTATGATGGGAGGAAGCTTCATGATGCACAATGGTCTCTCCCCATTCATATATAAAAATTGTTGTTTCTTGCATCGTCAAGATTTTACTAAAAGTGGAAAGTTAGTCTTACCCCAAGGGTCGATTAAAACAAAGTAATTAACCACTCACCATCAAAATTAAAAATAAAAGCAAGGTTAATGCGGCATTTTCACAATTAACTACACTCTAATCTAATCTAAGATGGTATACGAGTCAAGTTGAACTCGAATATTATTAAATTTGACTTGACTAGAAAATTTTAAAGTTAAATTCAAGTTAAAAACTTGTAAATTTAAAATTGTCGAGCTCGACTCAAACTCAAAACTAAAAATTGAAGCTCTACTGAGCACAACAAAATTTAAACTCAAAACATTCTCAGACTTATTTCGATTGAAGCTCAAACTTGATTTTTAAGTCCATGGAAATCTTACATTGTATTTTAAAAATATATAAATATTAATAATCTAATTTAAAAATTAAAACATATAATAATATATTATTTTTCGAGTTACTGACGAGCTTCTTGAGTCAAGTATCAAGTAATTCACTTTAGTTTTTAAGAATCCAAATCGAGTTCGAGCTTAAATTAGTTTCACTATAATCGAGTATTGGTCAAATCAAATTCAAATATCTTACAATCTATCATGTCTCATTTACAGCTCTGCTCTAATTTAATTCTAAATCATTGATTACATGAGCCCACTAAAATAATTGGCTTCCTTGCCCATGTAGGGAGTTGGCAAAAAATTCCTCATATAGGGCTCTAACTAAATTATTTCTTGAATTGGGGTATTTGCTACAGTGACCTCATTGGTCGTCAGGTGTTCCATAGGTCGCCAAGTGTTCATTGTGACAAAGCTTCTTCTATTGCAGCAACTCTTCTCTCTTCTCTCGTTGTTACAGCTTCATAGGTCGCCTAGTACTCCATAGGTCGTCGTATGCTCTTGGAGACCTATAGAGGTCGTCGTGTGTTTCTGGAGATCTATATTGATCACTGTAGCAATCACTTTACTTAAGTAAATAATTGTTCGATTACACTATATAAAGAATTTTTTCCATTTCATTATTCAACCACTTTTGCCCGAATAATTATCTTACTCGCATCATGGCTTTTTAAAGAAAATATTATTTAAACCAAAATTGTCTAATTAGCTCATTAAATAAACACAACTTGGAAAACAAAGTTGTTTGCCTTTTGACACGATGATAACCATAAAATTTTAGCTGCCCTTCCCACTTAATCCTTTTCTTAATTAAGATTAGAGTGGGTCCGTCCACATGCAAAATGACAATTTTACCCCCAATTACATTTCTGAATTGCTAAAATTGCTGGTCAAAGTGATGGCAATTTGGTGAAAGGAATGTCTTAATCGATTGCCATTTAATTAATAATGACTGGCGTACATGTTACATATTTATTGGAATAAATTTACGAGGATAAGTATTAAGTTTTGTCACATTACTCATATATTTTTATTATTAATAAAATATTTATTTTATGAGTTTAACTCATAAGATTAACAGTCTGTCTGACATATGAATATATGAATTTATATTAACAATTAAAATATTTTATTAAATTAATTTTGTGGACGAAGTAACACAAAATCCAATTAATAATAAATAATAAAATTTTATTTTTAAAATAAACTTAATAAATTAATAGTAGTATAAAATTATTTAACTACAGAAGAACTTTTTATAAAAATAAAACAACTACTTGTATACTTTCCCTCATCATAAAGAAAACAACCAAATATTACTTATTTATTGAAGATTTATTTTTTAATAGATAAATATTATTTGTAATATGTTTATTATTTTACTCATAGAATGAATGTGATATAATTATAGTAGAAAATAGTGTGTGTGTGTGTTTTCTCTAATGAAATTATTTATTTTATAGTAAAATTGTTAAAACGTTACAACGTGGTATATTATTGATGAATGAACAAGGAAATTAAAGTGTTTTTATATTGAATTTAGTAGTTAAAAAATGTTATTTTACACGAATCAAGTAGCCTCTGTGATAAGGATTCGAGTTTGAGCACCATAGATGTCAAGTGTGTGACCATTCAATATCAAAAGGGTTGAGAGTTATCTTTGAACAGATATTACATTGTACATTCCCCTAATTAATAAAAAGAACGTAATTTTACACGAATCAAGTAGCCTCTGTGATAAGGATTCGAGTTTGAGCACCATAGATGCCATGAGTGTGATCATTCATTATCAAAAGGGTTGAGAGTTATCTTTGAACAGATACTACCTTGTACATTCCCCTAATTAATAAAAAGAATGTAATTTTACACGAATCAAGTAGCCTCTATGATAAGGATTCGAGTTTGAGCACCATAGATGCTAGGAGTGTGATCATTCATTATCAAAAGGGTTGAGAGTTATCTTGGAAGAGATACTACCTCGTACATACCCCTAATTAATAAAAAAAATGTTATTTTTCTAGAGATATCAGATTGAACAGTTATGTTTATAAGATATATATATTATCAATAAGTTAAAAAATTTAAATAAATATTATTAATTAAGGGTAATTACGTCATTAATCTATTATTTTTTCTTACTTTAATCATCTAATTATATTTTAATAAAAATATCACTAATTTTATTTTTCTTTATTTTGATTATAGTCTATTAAAAATTATATACAGTATTGAGATAATATTTTTTTTAGTTTTTGATGTAATTTATAGTTCTTTAACAGCCTACATGTCAATTCAAACCAATAGAGTGACAACACACGTCACTACTTTATAAAAAAAGGGTAAAATATAACATTTATCTCTTAACTTTATTCTTTTATTTTATTTACTGTATTTTTAATTTTTTTTTATTTAACATATTTTAATCACTCTAAATTATTTTATTATTATTTTTGTATGATGTAATATTTTTTATTATTTAATATAAAAATGATTCTGAAGGTTGACGGTGTCCAATGGTTGACGGTGGGCGGTGATTATTTTAAGTATTTTTAAATTT